TATATATATAATATATATATATATATATATATATATATATATATATATATATATATATATATATATATATATATATATATATATATATATATATACATATATACATGTACGCATATCTATTTAGTCATTCGGTGTTAAGTGGATGAAGTCCTCCGCCGAATTGTGGTATACCATATTCATTCGTTTTACCACACAAATTAGAAAATTTTCCACGAAAATACAGCTAAGTACAATCATTTTGGTAAACCCAGAAGTGTTAAAGTAGACAACCATAAGTTGCTATTCAGACATATTTCTGCACGGTCGCCCTCCAGAATTATCATTGTTGGTGGCTGTGCGAAATAAGTAAACAAAGGTGATCACCTACCCCCCGTGTCGTGGTTTGAGCATGTCGAATCGCAGAAGTCGCCACCGGTACCCTCAAGGAGTATGCGGGCACACCCCGCGACAGGATTGTTCGCAACATTTCTCTCGTTTCTTATTTTCGTTCCTAATCAAGGTGAAATGCACAGAAACTATGTATCGATAGCGTCAATATGAGACAGTTAATATCTAAAGCTATCCTTTTCAATCTCCTGTCACAGGAGATGTCGAGTACAAATTGTTTATCTTTTTGTGCTCACTGTGTTGGGCTGTGGTGCTGAAACTGAATCCTTCTTTTGAAGGTCAAGAGATATTTTGGCGGCACGTGGTTTTTAGTAACAATTCAATACCTTGCACCCGTATCACCCATAGAAAGGACTATAGGGTTTATTTGAAAGATGGGATGGTCCAAGAGACTTAATAAGTCAGGATGGTCTAAATTTGAACCATTTTAGAACATAGCCTACTGTGCACTAGGCGAAGGAAGGTTATATGGCTGTCGATATTTAGTTTCATATTGTAGCTTGTTATGCAACCATTAGCTCTTAGAGACGATTCTGATCACATATATGCTCCTGAGAGATTAGTGGGGGGGGGTCTCACAGGATTTACTGAACAACAAGTCTGTCGCTGCCCAGGAATTAAGAAACCCTTGTTTGGTGCCTGGAGGCTACGCAGTCATGCAGAAGTCACATGCAGAGATGATAGATAGTATTCCACCTGTAGATAGTTCATTGTTGAATAAAGCACCGAGGTGTATGCTTATGGTGAAAATTTCTCGGATGTAGCACGACCAAAACTAGTGCGTTAGGCTTGTCAGCTATGTCACTATTTCATACAGTTGCCTACAGAAAGGGTACTCCATCAATTATTAGTTTCGACAAATGATCCAGGATTCTTTGACGATTGATTTAGGCGTTAAAGATAGACAGATTGCATATAACCTATAGGTCTCCCATATCGTATATTCTGCGCCAACATTCCGTACTGCGCAACCTCCGAAATGCTTTGTAAAAAGATACTTTATATAGCGGTACCAACGGAGTTTATCAATCGGGATAAATAACATATGAGCTTCTCCAGATGTTATCTCTCAGAAGTCTATGAACTCCGTTGTAAAGAAAAATACCGCAACAGAAAGAATTCAAGCAAATATCAGGTTAAAATACCACGCTGCCTACTATGATTGTTTTCCTATATAGAAGAAGCGTTGCGGCATTCTTTGACTCAAACGCTACATATCGGACAAAAAAAATATAGTCTCTTTTGTATTATTATATATATGAAGCGAATTCCAGATCCTATTTGAACGCAAGTATTGTTTATGGCGGAGGTCCTAATCAGTGTAAACTACTTGAACTTGGCTGACAAAGTATAAAAAGGTTTTTGCATAAAATCCCCAAATATAGCCCTGAGATTAAGGAGGTCATACAGAAGAACAGTAGAACTATACTCTAATAGTTAGTAAAATTGTGAACGGCGCAGATCCGGGGGCAAGTAAGAGGAGTTATAGATGAGCAAGAGCTTTATTCTAACATTCGAAACTAGGAACAGAATACCAAACGAAATTAACACCACGCGAAAATAAGGACGAATCATTAAGTACGGTCTGGAAAGGAGCATTTGCATACTGCCGGGGAGTGCCTATAACTGGAGTGTATATACTACAGTCTGTTTCAGGTCTCCCTGTTGCTATCATGTCCATACTATGTATGTCATCGTGAACAGTTTCTGTTGCTCTCTACACGCATGCATAGCCTTCTTGTCTTTTTGAAGGGCTATGACATTGGTGTGATCAATTCTATTTCTAGGGTTTTTTGTCTTGTAGCAGGCTCGAATGTAGCGGGAATTACGGTACCGAACTGTATATTGAACGGCATGCATATAAACATCGATTTAGCAGGAAATTAAACAATAATACGGTATGAACTCTATAAAGTGCTATTTCCATATATACATTTCTTTTATTAATAGTATCGTGCCCTGCTACACGTCGACAGGTGAACAGTTGTGGTATCGTTAGGTAGTATAATCGTCACTATGTTATTAAGGTGCGGTCCGCGAATGCAGGCACGTGGCCTGTTGGCCATAAACACTTGCCGCTGCCGTTCATCAATCCGAACTCTAACTACAGGCAAAGAAGGTATAGTGAGTGCATTTGTTTTATATACAACAGTGGGTTCCACGAAGCGTATCTTTGTCTTGTGGACTTCTTGTGAAGATATCATACTGCATAAAAGTTAAAATCCAGAAGAGCACATTTGTCACTTACTTCTTACTTGTTACGAGACCCTTGGTCTCCGTTGGATATGGATAATCATAGAAATATACAACGATAGTTATAGAAGTACCAATTGTTTTATTCATAATTCCGTCTTATGCACGTAGGGGTTCAGAAATTGGTATCAATACTAACGTATGTTCGATGCTCAAAAACAGCGAACAGTTATATACATACATATATATATATATATATATATATATATATATATATACTATAGTATATACTATATTACTATAACAACACACTACTACACATATATATACACACACACATTGACACACACACATCTATATATATATATATATCATCTATATCTATACACACACACACACACACGCACGCACACAAACATATATATATATATATATATATGTATGTATGTTTATATGTATATTATATATATTTATATATTTATATATATATATATTTATATATATGTATGTATATACATATACATACACACATACACACACACACACATATATATATATATATATATGTATATACATATACATACACACACACACACATATATATAGATTTAGATTTAGATATAGATATATAGATACTTATATACATTTGTTATAGATGAATAGCATAGTTGATTAAGTTTGGTCACTTTGGGGTCACTGTGTAGTGTCTGTTCTGTGGTCTTGTACTTGTTATGATGCAATTTCAAATCGTTGGCAGCTATGTGTATATCTCAATACAGGTCAATACAGGATTGCATGTGTTATATCGTATGAATGGTATATATACTTGAGAGCCTATATGTGTATTTTTTTCATACGTTTATGCATTCGTCTTAAGTGTACAGTTTCAAGGGGTTTAAGCAATGATCATGTACTATCATGCAATCATGTGTATAGTTATTGTAGTGTAGATTTGAGGAGCGTCCACTTTAACATATTTAGAAACTCCGGTGTGAGATATTCGTTGACCAGTTTTGTATGATTTTCCATATATTTGGTTTGTGGCCCCCTAGCGACGGCCAGAAGGCCCCTTCGTCAGAGAGGGAGTTGACTCAGGGGGTACACTTTTTCTTATCCACCATGTGCCTTAGTGATAACATACACGCTATTTGGCTGGGGCGGCACTGGATCACAATGCCGACTCAATTTTTTTGGTGGTTCTATCCCTTTTTCAGGTGAAGATAAAGGCGCAAAAGACAAAGACTCCACTGATGGAGGTGAGTTCATTAGTCATGCGAGATATTAGCGCCTGATTACGATACGAGATTCTTGTTTTTGTGACGGAAAGTGAAATATATATTCTGTCATTCACTCTCCTACATATGACACCTACCTAAATGCACACCAAAAATCATCACTTACAGCTATGGATATGCTAACAGCCATGCTGGAAAACAGTCATAGTAACTCCAAATCGGCCGGCTCGACCAAAGTATCGCCGAAAATCTCTTCGACAGGTGATGTTATACGACGCAATCAATAGGCGGATACGATTCTAGAGCAATTGGAAGCGGGCAAGACGTTTCGTCTACTGTTTGTTCATGTGTCTCTTCTTTTAATGTAAACGTTTGTATCTATCTAGGTCCAGTTGGGGTTTTTTTGCATACACTCCTTTGCAGACTAGCTATCGAATACGTATGTGATTCTGTATTCATATATGTGCATAGATTTGCCAACAATACCTTTCTGCAGACTTTGAGCTACATAATGAGTACATTTACAAAATTGGATGTGAAAGTCTAAAAATACCTATGCATAATTACTCTTGTCATAAAACAATATTGGTTGACGTTAAACAGATCTGATCTTTATTATTTCACACACATACACACGCACACACACATCACTCACTCACTCGAGCACAAACACACACATACATATATATATATATATATGTATGTCTATGTATGTCTATGTATATGTATTTATATAGATATGAACGTATAAATGTATATATATATATATGTACATGTATATATGTGTGTATGTATGTACGTACGTACGTATGTATTTATGAATTTATGTATGCATGTAAACTTTTATGTCTGTGTTTGTATTTCTATATGTATATATATATACTCACACACATATATATATATACATATATATATAAAAATAAAATACATATACTTATATATATATATATATATTGTATGTATAATATATATATATATCATATTTATATTTATATATCATATTTATATTTATGTTTATGTGCTTTTCGATTTCTCATATTATTTTTTCTTGTTGGTCGTGTACGTAGGTGCGTTCAAAACTGAAGAGGGCGATAATGAAGATGATGGAGGTGTGTTTCAAGCTTCATTTGCAATTTTTATATCTGGTTACCTCGATATGTTAACAATAACTGAATCCTCGACACAAGCAACAACTCATGAATTTGAATTTGTCACATACAAATTCAGCGATCAATCTTTTGGCATCCATGCTGGATGAAGATAAAAAATTATCAAACGCTTCCAAAAGATCGCCAAGCAAAGCTAGTAACGAAGAGCAGGATATCCTAGAGACAGCTATATTTTCAAAGAAAGCTGACGTCGAAGGAGGGCAGGATTTTCTTTCCGATCTTTTGAGCGGAAAGGTAGAGAAGGAGAAGATAGAACCAGACTCAATCTTCAAGACATTGGACGTGCCTTCCAAGAATAGGTTTATCAGTCCAACTGGTGTGTAGAACTTCAAGTCTTATACGAGTCGATCAATACTTATTCCGGCGCTCATTCTACTTTCATTGTCTGTACTTTTTTTGCTTTCAATGACACAAGTATGCGTGATAAACCCCTCATTTTGTTGCGCTTCTCCACAACAGCCAGAAAACTAAAAAAATACGCCTCTGAGGACGAAGATGGCTGGGTGCCTGATTGGAACAAGATTGCAAAGGAGCAGCACAATCAAATACCAAAGCCTGAGCGTCCTAAACCCAAGCCTCGACCCGAATTAGTCGAGGTAGGCTATATATATATATATGTTTATCTGTCGATCTATCTATCTATCTATCTATCTGCATATATATATATATATATATATATTCATATACATACGTATATAGGTAGTTGTAGATTCAGATTTAGATTTAGATTTTGTAAATTTATATTTATATCTATAAAAAGTGTGTATTTGTCTACACTAAATTTGATATTTTGTATATTTTCATATGTAATGTGGTATAGGTTAAATCAATATGTTTACTGAAATTTACATATATGTATTTATAGCTAGGACGCATGTCTGAATATACCTTGCGACTTATTGTCGTAGTGAATCGAATACCGATATGCAAGTGTCGGCAGTTTTGTCGCAGGCCAGTTATATCTTCTTTGGCGGGGACATTTTACTACGAAGTATGCTTAGTTATTATGGTTGATTCTACGCTGAGCACATCTGCATCGAGTTTTGGCGATCTCCAATTGAGCACATAGCTGTTTGCGAACGTGTATATGTACATGTATGTCAAAGATACTAGCATTCAATAATGATATTTATTTCCTGTCATGGAATCGACATACAGTTCTTGGCGTACAGCGCAAGTTCGAAATATTGTTCTGCTAGCCGAACACAAACCTACGAGAGAAAAATGTAATCTGATACCTGATTTTATGATTTGATAAATATTCTACAAGTATTTGCATATCTGTGAAACATTTAGTCGGATATCGAGATGTCTATAGGTGCAAGTATGGTCTGTGAGAAAGTTTGTGATGATCACACTTTTATTGAACCATAGAATTCAGTTCATGTCTGATACATTTACTTATATGAAACCGTGTATCAAGTTCGGAGATATCAAAATAATAATGCTGTGACCTACTTCATGACCTCTTCGTTTTTCAACTCGATGGTCTCTCAACCATATTCTGGCCCAACTCGGGACAGGGAGTGAGCAGTGATGCAGAAGAGGTCGAGGGTGATCTCGACGAAAAAGAGAAAGTGTGGCTGCAGAATTTGATGTCCAAGGTGAGTACAACATTTGACGTGGAGCTTGTAGATAACTGCCCATCTTTAGAGCGCCATACTAATAATGCGTCTATTCATGTTGTAGAACAAATCGGTATTGTCGAACAGGAAAACTATGACAAGTTTGTCTCACCCTAATTCTGTTTTGGCCCACAGGTGACGATTGCGGTAGAACGGAACCCTACGTACAACAAAACCCAGCGAGAAACGATGATTAATAGCTTCAGACAAATCGATACGAAGAACAAAAAAACCGAAGCATAGCCATGCCTGATGCGCTAGACTCATCCATAATAGCCGATGAGGGGCTGTCGGTAACTGAAGGGCACACTGAATGGTTTCACTGTGAATAGTTTTGGGCCTTTCATTGGCCCACTTCTATTCGAGAAGCCGCAGTGGTGCAACTGTTGTTTTGGAAGCATGGCTGATACCAGTGTTCTCGCCCAGATCGGGACGCGTAGGACAATTTCGTGCCAGGGTAAAATTAAATCCATAAAAAGTCAAATGTCCCAGATTTCACTAGCTTGAAGATAGGCAAGATATCTCCAATGCTGAGCACATCTTCCTGTGATGCAAGGAGACCTCCAGTAATCATACAATGACCATATATTTACCACAGAATCTTTAAATCCATCTGCACCCGATAATTTGTTGTTGCCAAAAATATCCTGCAGACCGTTGCCGAATTGATAGGTCAAACTAGATACATATAAGAGCACACCGCAACGGCGGATTTTGAATGATTATGACACGCGTGCTTGAATGATGTAAACTACCGAAGATGTGCATTCCTGAAACCATTGAAATAATGTAGATCATTTTTAATCAGCTTCCAGATTGATGTTGTTTCCAAACTTGCCGTAGAGTTGTGTTTTCAATTTCGTCAATTCTTTTCTGATACTCGTCATCTTTTCTTCCACAGCCTCAGTGTCCTCGTTAAGTTGCATCTGTAGCAGGGAAATCACAGCGTCAGTATAAACTTGACTATATTCAATATGTCCGATCTCAAAAATGAAAGCAACGGTTTAGCATCAGTAAAGCGGGTCAACAAACGCGTTCAAAAACAAGCCACAGATATTAGGTCGATGACTAGAATGAGAGTGCAATATTCCAGTCCTAAACTGGAATCTGCTAGCCATGCTAACCTGTATATATTCTAATCTCTCTGTCGCGTCTGACTGGGACACCTCGATGTATACATCGCCTATCCGGAAAGGCACAAGCTCTTCGTCATCCATTATCATCATCAGATCGCTCTCAGCATCTTCCAGGTTTTTCTTCTGGCGCTATTAATTGGAGTAAACACAATTTATCAGCCAACGCGACTAGAGTAGCATAGCCGAACAAGAAAAAGAAAATAAAACGCGGAGTGCAAATTGATCGGAATGTGAAACGAACATCCCTTATGTCTTTAACACCTCTTACTAAATCAATCGAGCAGTATCACTATACTCAACAATACAACATGTAACGCTACTGAAAATAACACGCCGATGACAAGAACATACTGTTTTCACTTCCAAATCCTTCTCCAAGTCACTCATGTTTGAAGTCAAGCGACTGAAGGTGTTTATCATTCGCTGATCCTCCCACGTCACTTCCACCTCTGCCTGCTCCGTTGCCTGTAGATGTCAGGATATGTGTCAGTAACACTAAGCACGCTCGATGTTGTAACGTGTGTGCACTTATGGGTGGCGGCGACAGGTGAGGACACAATATTTCAAATGGAGCAGAACTGATCCACATCAACAATATTTCAAATGGAGCAGAACTGATCCACATCAAAGTCACAGATTGAGGCAGATGTATACCTAAGCAGAAGTATATTTTCGATACCTACATAGTAAATTTATACCCAAATTTAGTGCACCGCAGATACCAGAAAATCGGTTCACTCTAATGGCACCGTCCAATATCTTAGTCTGGCATTTAAGTCCAAATTAATACGAAATACAAAAGCACAAACAAAAGCTTACTCAGCATAAAGAGTCAGCTATATTATTTCATGCGAAACTAAAATGGTCGATATATGCATATACAGACCATATGAATACGTAAACATACAATATGCATACAATATATACTTATTATATATATATATACTTTGTAGACATCACATATGCATATGTATCTATAGATATAAATACACACACACATATATATATCTAT